TCCCTTCTCTCTCTTGGTCCCTCCCAAACCCTGCTGCAGCCACAGAACGACAGGCCTGGCCCGAGCGGCTTAACAGCAGCGTGGAGGAGCTGCTACAATCCTCCCTGTCCCTGGGCGGCCAGGATCAAGGGCAGGAGCGGGAGGGACAAGAGGAGGAGTGGGAGGAAGGACAGGGCACAAAGCAGGCGCTGGAGACGACGTCTGGGTTGCAGGCAGACCCGGAGCCCAAGACCCAGTCTGAATTTGTATCCTCCAACCCTTTCTCCTTCACTCCCCGGGTGCGGGAAGTGGAGTCTACTCCCATGATGATGGAGAACATCCAAGAGCTCATCCGATCCGTGCAGGAAATGGATGAAATGAATGAAATGAATGATGTATATGAGGAGAATATCTGGAAAGCCCAGAGCCCCGGCAGGTACAGGAAGTTGTCTGCCCCACCGGCCCTACCTTCCCTGCTGTCTTTGGGAATGAGAAGCCCCCTTTGCCAGCCTCGGCCTCCAGACCCACTCACATCTGCCTGGGCTTCAGGTGCACCTAGCCGCTGCCTGCCTCGCCTGCTCTGTGGCCGTCATGGGCTTACGCACTGCCCTAGACGTCCGTCCCTACATGAACTAGTGGGTGCGCCCTGAACCTAGAGCTACCAGACTTGGGTTCTGGGGTTGTCTCTGGCCCTGATGAGCACTGCAACTTTTACTTCCCCTTTCTGGATCTCAGTTCCTCACTTGTAAAAGGAGGCAGTTGGTCTGGAGGCCTCCAGGGCCCCATCCAGCATGCTAAATGTGTGTGACTAGGACTAGACGCTAAGGGGAGGGGAAGAGAGTGGGTGGGCTTTCTGCCCCAGCCCTGTGGCCCATCCCTCCCAGCCGGTGCCATCTTCTTGCAGTCTCCTGCAGCTGCCTCACGTGGAGGCCTTGCTGGCACTGTGCTACTCAATTGTGGAGAACACCTGTGTCATAACCCCTACAGCCAAGGCCTGGCAGCACTTGGAGGATGAGATCCTTGGTTTCGGGAAGTCGGTATGCCCACCATGCTGTTTAATGGCTCCATGCTCACCGGGCATCCTCTGGGCCTCGGGAGTGGTTAATGGGCGGGGCTACATAAAGCCCGAGGCATCATTGGAGAGATTCTCTCCAAGTGCGAATCCCTTCTTTGGAAGGGTATCTCCAGCTCCCCTTAAAGGAGGAGGTCACAGGACGGAGTCTGGAATCCATTTCAGTCCAGAATTCATTCTGTGGCTGCGCCTTGTTAGGTTTGAGTCATCTCCTGAGCCAGTTCACCACTGGCAGGACTTGGCTTTACCTTAGATGTAGCTCTTCTTTCCAGAGGGATCACAGAACCGTTTCCAGGGATCTGTAGAGAGATCCCAGCCTCGACGTGTCCTCAGCACCCAGCAGGTCCTATTCCCAGGAAATAGGGCTTTCAAAAAGTGCAAGTTAGCAAATGTTTGTTGAGAGCTGGTATGCCACCCATTCATCCGTTTGTTCAAATATTGATCGGGCTAGGTATTTGAGATGTTAGCAGCTCTGTCCTAGGTATTTTCGCAATGAGTACAACAGATCCCATTCCCTCTCCTCCTGGAGTCCGGTGGGAGAGACAGACGCGGAAACGGAGAATGGTGTGGCAGCATCAATGCATGACAGACAAGCACAAAGTGCAGAGAGCAGATGGAGAGCACAAACGTCGCGTTGGGCTGGATCGGAGAATTGCCTCTTGGAGGAACTGATGTGCAAACTGAGAGCCGGAGCTAAAGGAAGTTAACCAGGCAAAAGAAGGGGTTGGTAGAGGTTCCTGCTAGAGGGGTTAGTATCAATATGTGCCAAGTCTCTGAGGCAAGAAAGAGAAGAAATTCCACGTGGAACCAAAAAAAAAAACCGAGCACACTGCTGTTCTCGGCCCGCAGGGAGCAGGGATTCAGTAGCATTACAAAAGCAGTGTGGTAGGTGCTGGAGAGAGAGTTTTTCTGGGTCTTTTTGGTTTTGTTTTGGAGTGTAGGCAGTTCAGGAGCGGTGGAGGGCTCACTGGATTTTTAGAGTCAAAGAGATGATAAGGGTCATGATGTGAATAATCCCGAATGGCAGTCTGAAGCATCTGTATTTAATTTGGTAAGAAAAGAGAATTCAGTCATGATTTGGGGTCAGGGACATGATGATGCGTCCCCCGTGTGCTGTTAGGAGGAGCAAGGAAGGCGACGTAAGAGATTTTGTGACTGTGACACGCTGACGGGATGGACTGGCGATGCTGCAGGGCGAGATCCTCCTTCCTCCTGGAAGGCTGGGGAGACTTGCTCAGGGCAGAGAGCCCCACCGGGCTCCACATCCAAAATGTCATCCAAGAACTTGGAGGTTCTGAACCTAGGTGCTCGGGCAGAGGACAGTTTTGGAGTTGGAAGCACCAGGACCAGTGCCTCAGCTCCACATGCACTAGACGTGGGTTTGAGCAGTTGACTCAGCCTCACGGAGCCTCGGTTTCCTCGTCAGGCACACAACGGAGGCCTGCTTAGTACCTATGCTAGTAGAAGGTTCCTGTGGAGACCAAAGGAGATGATGGCATTTATCGCCATGGTGCGCAGCACTGTGCCGACTCTTTGTGAATATTAGCGTTATCATTAGCAGAGAGGAAGGGAGGGTTATGAGTCTTTTTCAGACGGGCTAAGTTAGACGTCTGTCAGGCACTTGGCCGTGGGGATTTGGAGCTCAGGAAAGAGATCAGAAGTGATGGTAAAGGTTTGGGTGTCACCAGCAGGGAGATGAATATTACCTGTGAGTAGATAAATTATCCAGGAAGAGGGTGAAGAAACAGAGAGCCGACGGGAGGTCCTTGAGGACCCTTGGGGAGGGGGGCAGGGAAAAGGCACAGGAGCTTCTGGAAAAGACTTAATGTGGAGACATTCTGCGGAGCGGCTCTGGAGGGCGGAAGCGGGGGAGTCTCAGCCTCAGTTCCCCAGCCACACGCCTCCTCAGGTCTGTGACAACCTTGGGCGGCGACACGTAGCTGCATGTACCCTCTGTGAGTTCTGCTCCCTGAAGCTGGAGCAGTGCCACTCGGAGGCCAGCCTGCAGCGGCAGCAGTGTGACAGCTCCCACAAGACGCCCTTCATCAGCCCCCTGCTCGCGTCCCAGAGCACGTCCATCGGCACCCAGGTACCGAGGAGGGTGGCCTGCAGCGGCTGGGGGCCTCAGGCCCCAGGCAGGATGGGGCAGCAGGGGGGCCGGGACGCCCACCTCTCCCTTGTGCCCCGTGCCACAGATAGGGACCCTAAAATCGGGCCGCTTTTACACACTGGATTTGTACGGCGGGCTACGCATGGACTTCTGGTGTGCCCGGCTGGCCACCAAGGGCTGCAAAGACAATCGAGTCGCCAGCTGGCTCCAGACTGAGTTCCTCAGCTTCCAGGATGGGGACTTCCCCACCAAGGTCAGCGCCTTCCCCAAAGCTCAGCCCCACCCTGTTCACCCCGGTTCCTTCTGATCCCTCGCTCTGGGGAACCCTAGGATGTGGAGGGGGGCTTGGGCCCCTGGCCTCACTGAGCCTCCTGCCTCTCTCCGGTAGACCCCCCGGACCCCCAGGAGAGCAGGATTGCGCTTAGCAAAGGAGTAGGAATCTGGAGGGCTGGGCGGGCGCAGGCCATGGGGGCATGAGACAGGTCTGGTCCCAGCTCTGCCGGTTACCTGCAGGGGGTGGGGTGGGGGACTTCATCTCTGCCCCAAACGGCTGCTGACGGTGACCCAGTGCTTCCCTGCCTAAGTCTGGAGGCTCCTTCCCAAATCTTCTAGTGCTGTCCCTCTCAATGGGATCAACTTTGCTCCCCGCCTCCAGAGTTACCTCCCCCCCACGGAACTAGCTGCTGTAGCTGAGAGCCCGGCCCCTCCCTTCTGTGGTGTAGCAGGAAAAATCAAGACCAGGAAAAGCAGAGGCAGCTTAAGAAAGGGCTTTTCTCTGAGCCGAGAGGTCTCCGCCCAGCTCTTCTCCCTGGGCCCCTAGATCTGGAAGGGGTCTCGGACTGCCTCAGCTGCTCGCCTGGATTTATAGATGGGCAGGCGAGGTTCAGAGGGAAGTGACTGCCCCAGGGTCATACATTAGAGGCACTTCTGACCTCTTCCACACTGAACCGTCCCTAGGAAGCTCCCTGAGATGGGACCACTGCTTGGGCCCCTTCCCTGGCCCTCGTCCCTCGGCTGCTTTCCAAGCTAGGTGACCAGCAGGGCACCCCCTTCTCAGCTCCAGCTCCTGGCTTCTTCCCAGCAACTGAACCATGGCTGAGGGTGGGATGGGAAGGGCAGAGGGGACACCCCGGGTGCAGAGGGTCTGGTTCTGTACCCTGGTCCTGCCATCGTGGGCGCACTATGCAGGGCTGGTGTCCGTGAGGCTTCTGATGTCTTCCCATCCCCCGCTCCTGGCTTAGATTTGTGACACGGAATATGTGCAGTACCCGAACTATTGTGCCTTCAAAAGCCAGCAGTGTATGATGAGAAACCGGAACCGGAAGGTGAGCCCCTCCCTCTGCCGCGCCCCCACCCCCACCCCGCCCCTGCTGCCTCTCATCAGCCCCAAGGGCTGGTCCGTTCTGGGCACCCCCTGGCGTCCGAGCATCAAGGGTGTGGAGAGTGGGTGCATCTCCGGGCAGAGCCTCCTCCGTGGAGCTCTGTCCCCACTCCTCCCGCCTTGGGGTGAGCAGCTCTCCCAGGCCCCCAGGCAGAGGGTTCCAGGAAGGAGGGAGGCTGCAGATCAGAGGCCCTGTGGATACGCCAGGAGGGAAGAACCCCCAGCCGGGTTGGGCCTGAGAGGCTGAGGCCTCAGTCTTGCCTTTTGCTGTTACTCACCAAGTCGGCTGAGCCAAGTCACTTCCTCTCCAGCCTCAGGCTCCTCATTTCTGAATGGGGGGGTCGGGCTACGTGGTGTGTCTCCCCGCTCTAAAAACCCCCATCTGAGTTTCCTCCTTCCCTCTGCTCCCTGTGCCTACGCCCGCCCACCTCCTGTTCTTGAATTTCCAACACCTCGGGCTCCTGGCTTTCCTAGCTGGACCACGTGCGCCCAATCCCCGTGCAGGTGTCCCGCATGAGATGTCTGCAGAATGAGACGTACACCGTCCTGACCCCGGCCAAGAGCGAGGACCTCGTGCTTCGATGGAGCCAGGAGTTTAGCACCTTGACTCTTGGCCAAGCCGGCTGAGCTGGACTCTGCCCTCTCCCCACCCACTTTCCACACCCTCCATTGCTCTCAGACTCCAGGTTGTCTCTTACTTGGCCCAGACCCAACGTTTCCCTCGGGTTGGGGCAGCTGTCCCTGAGAGGTCTGAGATGGGAGCTCCACCTACCTTAAAGGATGTCTTTACATAAAATGTTTATTTTCAACCTGTGTGGCCTGTTTTGGTTCTGATCCCCTCGTTGGCCCTGCCCCAGGGGAGTCAACCCTCCAACCCCTGGATCCATCTGCAGGCGAGGGAACCATGGGGATGGTACTCAGGGAAGCAGCCCTCTGCCAGGAGGAGAAGCCCTGAGAAATCAGAGTTGGATTGAAGGTCACAGCCGGTGTCTTGGGGACCATGTGCGCCATGCGGGCGTGGGTGTCTCCATTTCTGAAGCCCTGATCCCATGATCTCAGATGTGAATGTAGGGTTGTCCCTCCGGAGGACAAGCTGAATGAGATTGTGTCCAGGGGGACCAATCCCAGACAGTAGGGTAGGACTTGCTCTTTAGAGGAGGAAGGAAACAACTGGGCTGGAGCTCAGGAAACCTTTGCTGTGACGTCCAGTCATGGGCCCGATGGCCTGAACATGGAGAGGAGCTGCATCCCGAAGCATCGGCCTTTAATAACCTGGGATCTCCCAAGACGTGTTCGGGGAACACACGTGTGGGGAACTATACAGCATTTAAAAGAAAACATTTATTATGGAAAGGCTCAAACACGCACACGTAGAGAATAGTGTAATGCAGTCCCGGGCACCCTTCACCCAGCTTCAATTACCAACACGCAGTCAACCTTTTAAAGGCATGTCGAAGGCTCTGAGAAGCCCTGAAATAGAGAAACCTGTTCGACTTAGTGTTTCCCATACTCGTTCGACCGCGCTGTCCTTTTTCACCTACCGCTCAAAGCTTGTTTTCGAGTACTGAGCGCAGACAACCCGCCCGGCCCTATTGATCCGGAAGACGAGGGGCTCAGCCCAGGGTTCAGAGACTAGGGGCTGCCACCCTCCACACAGAGGGAGGTAAAAAACACACATGGCAAGAACGAAACCACCTGCTGGAACCCAAAAGAGACAGAGACAGCCAGGGGGAACTGCCGAGGACAGCGGGAGGCTGGGGGTTAGTCATCTGGCATCTGTGGGTGGGTGGGTGTGCCAGTTAGGCTTCCCGGAAACTGCAGGGAGTGTGTGAGCCATGGGGGGGTGGTTGGGTGGGGGGCATTAGGAGGGGAGAGTCGGGGCTGCATTAAGTGCCATGATCTGCTGGGGTTTCTTCTCTGGCTGGTCCGTGGAGGCCCCTGAGGGCACTGCTTACTCCTCTCTCTCTCTCTCCCTGCCCCGCTTGGGGTTGGGTGCGTGCAGGGAGCTGGGATCTGCCGAGATCTGCTGAGGTGCGTGTGTCCCACCCACCGGGAACAAGTCCTACCAGCCCAGCCCGGCCCAGAGCAGGCAGAAGCCGGCTTGGAGCAGCGGCTGAGCCACAGTGGCGAGCACAGGTATGGGGGCGTCCCAGCTGCGGTTGAACCTCACAGGGGCACGTGGGGCAGCACCCCTTCTTTAGAAACGGGAGACACGGGTGGGGATGGAGGTGAGAGGGGGCCCTGGGCCCTGGGGAACCTTTTTGAATAAAGAATTCAAAAGGATGGCCTCAGGCAGGCAGACCTCAGACAAGAGGATGATGCGCCCTAGACCTGAAGCACCAACGCACCCTGGGGCCTGTATGTCTGGGAGCTGCGTCTGCCCCTTCACTCGTTAGGTCCCCGCTGTCATGCTGAACCCCAGATCCCAGGCCACTGGGGAGGGAAGGCCCTCTGGGGATGGTTTCCGGCCCTTTCCCACTCTCAGATACGACAATCCCTGACCCTCTCACCCCAGGGCTGGGCCTCTGCTGGTGACAATGAACTGATCTGATTAAACTCCACAAGCGGGTTCAAGGCACAGATCTGCTCTCACAGTTATCCTTCCCAGCTAACCAAAGTGTTCTAGTGGCGCCTTAGAGAGATACTGCCTTCACCCAGTGCGTTTTCTTTACAAGAAGATTAGGGACTTCCCTGGCGGTCCAGTGGTTAAGACTCCGTGCTTCCACTGCAGGGGGTGCGGGTTTGATCCCTGGCTGGGGAACTAGGATCCCGCATGCTGTGCAGCGCGGCCAAAAATATATATAAAAAAGAGAAAAAATAAAGTGTTGGTAAAATTAGTTTAAAAAAAAAAGTAGAGGATTAGACCAGCTGTCTCCCATGTTCCTACAGCTATGGTAGATGTGGCACATGGGTGTCATGAAGTGGATAAAATTTCAGATACTGACCATGGGGTTGGGGGTGTGATATTGGAGGGTGGGTGAGGCCTTCTGATACCTCTGCCTCACACCACTGAGGGCAGCTGCCCACCTGTTCCCCGGGTCTATGGGGGCCCCTCTGATGGGGAGGGGCCCTCCCATCAGGTCACATCTCCAGTCCCTTCAGGATGAGCTGAAGTCTTCGCCGAAGGGGAGATGGAAGCAAGGCTTGAGGAGGAAGCAGAAACTTATTCGACCCGCAAGCCTCACCTCCTGGCCACCCAGAGATCCCAGAGCCCGGCTGTGCCTCTGTCTGATGCCCCCAGCGTGTACCCCTGCAACACGGAAGCCTTGCATGCCCAGGCCCGCGGGGACGGGGGCAGCAGAGGCGTGAGGGCTACGTGTGGAGCACACTCAGTGCTGCCCGAGGTCAGGGTGAGGTCCACGAAGCCAAAGGCTCCAGGAGGTTTCTCTGAGGCAGCGGGACCCAGCCAGGCCCCAAAGCAAGGACCACCCAGAGCACAGGGCTGCGGAGGGAGGCTTGAGCCCATCTGAGTCTTGATTGGGACTATGTTTCCTGTGTTTTTCAGCTCTTGACAGCAGGGTGGAGAAATGTCTGCAGGTGGGGAAGTGACAGCCATGCACTGGGGAGACTTAATTATGGAGCTGTAGGTCGCCTTTGCTTTCTGCCTTTTCCTAGAAAAAATTTCGGGAGGGATGAGATGAGAATACCCAGGGATGGTGCTGGAAAGGCAGGAAGAGAGGCTCAGGTGGGGAAGGGTGGGGAGAGGCTGGAGCAGGAATCTGGGCTGGAGAAAGCAAAGCAGGCTTGATCAGGGAGGAAGGAGGATGGAGAGAAGATAGGACACCCAGCGGGGGGGGGGGGGGGGGCTCAGGCTGCAGGCAGCACAAAGTGTCCGGCACTTTGTCCGGCCCTGACGGCCCGCTGAGCTGCCGTGGCCGGCCTGGTGGCTGTAACGTCAGGGAGCTGAGAGACAGCTAAGGCGACGTGTGGGCTCTAATTAAACCCCACTGACGAGCGCGGCCCTGCTTGGCGGCTCAGCTGGCAGGCCGGCGGGGGGGGGGGGGGCAGGAGAACGTGGCCCCGAGGGCAGGAGGAAGCCGTCCACTCAGCCCGGTGACCTGGTACTATCTCCACCCCACAGGCTCCCCAGACCCAGGACAAGCTGATGGGTAGGATTCATGTGTACCCAGAGCAGCCCTGGGACGGAGCTTTTCACAAAGCCTTTAGACTTCTTGAAACTTCCGCTGAAGGCTCAGCACGGTTTGGATCTGTCTGGGGAGTCTGAACCTACAGGCGTTAAGAGGGTGTTCACAATTACGAGCGTCTGTGGGTAAAGGGTGCATCTTCCCGTGGCTGCCGGGGTGTAGCAGCAGAGGAAGTGGGCTCAGCCAGCAACGCGCAGGTCGCACGTCGGGGAGCGGGCACCGTGCGGGGGAGGTGGAGGGTGGACACGCTCCCTGGCGCCTGGCTACCAGAACCTAAAAGAAGGTGGGAGCTATTCCAGAGCTGGTCTTCTGGGGCAAGGAGGATGAGGATTGACATTCCCACTTTCCAAACTTCTGAAGGACGTGGATTCCTGAGGAGAGGAGGCGGGGAGTAGGGGGGCAGGAAGCACATGGAGAGGGTGGCAGACAGGAGGAAGCTGTACAGAGACGGGGTGCCTCTCTCCCCTCCCTGCCCCCACCACTGCCCCAGATCACCCATCCCTTTCTGTTCCGCTCCCCTCTGCATCCCTGGTCAGGCGCCGGAAGGGTGGACACCACGGGCCAGCTGTGTGCAGGAGAGGGAGGGAAAGATCATGATGTAGCCTCCTGGCCACTTTTATCCTCCATTCTCACTTCCTGCCAGGGCAGAAAATAGCCCTGCCCCTCTGACTTATCTCAGCAAAGAGTAGTGCCCAGCCCAGCTCACAGGGCAATGGGACAGGTCCCAGAGGCCCCGAGGACATAAGGAACCTGGGCCCCGGGTGTGCAGGTGGGAAGCTGAAGGACAGAGAAGCGGTGTGGAGGAAGGTGGCCGCGCAGCATCTGGCGTGCGCGTGGTGTGGGGGGCTGGGATGTGGGCGGGGCCGTCCCCAAGGCCTCCTCTCTTTGCCTCTCAGTGCCTTGGGGCCGGGATCTGTTTGTGCACATCTGCATGCGTGTGTGTGCTCCTGAAGCTGCCCGTCTGTCTGTCCGGCTAAGGATAATGTCCCTAGGCGGGGACGGTGTCTGCTTTCCTCCCCTGGCTCGGCTGTCTGTGCCTCCATGCGTGCACACGTGTGTTACAGGCTGTGGATACACGTTGATTCGTATGTTACTAGGGATCTTGTGTGCACATCCCTCAGTGTACCCTTACCTGCGTGTGGCCTTGCATGCGCCCGTGTGTGTGTGTGTGTGTGTGTAGTGGTGCGCTCACATGACCTCCGGGCGTGCTGAGGTTACGGAGCCGGCGTGGGCCTCCACGCCCCCCTTCTCCCTCGTGAAATGAAATCCCAATGTCTCTGCTTTTCTGGGGCACCTGCTGCCTCTTTGCTTTCCGTCTCCCGCACCCCTCAACCTGACCTCTTGCTTAAGGCAGGATTGAGGAGAGTGCTGTGCCGCTCCTCCCCCACATCTAGAGCCCTCCTTCCACTTCTTGTTTGCCTTCTTTTTGGCAGTTTTTCCCATCTTTGCCATCTGGCCTGGCACTGTGCCCATTCAGCTCCA